AATTCATTATTATAGTAGAAAGAAGTTGTCAGTGTTTTGCAGTGTCTGCTCAGAGCAGAGCTCCCGTGTTTGTTTTGGTTTGGCCCAAGGTTGTACGCTGAGGCCTGTGCTGCTGAGAGCTGAATGAASCTGATTGGAGTCAGAAGATTGAAAATAAAGTGCTAAAGAAGAAATCTAGTGGGTTCCTGTTTTATTCAGATATACCATTTTGAACAACGCATATTTTTCCAACAACCCCGCACAAACCCTGATAACAGGTGGACCGGTGGTGCAGACCATCTCATTAAAATGAAGATTAAGCGTGTGTCACTGATGGAGGCAAACRGGACACAACAAAATTCAGAGTTTCAAGGTTTTTTTTTAATAGAAATAGGCCGGCAACACATGGCTCCCTAAGCTGCCTGACTCTTTCTAGCCGTGACAAATAAAAAAGTGTTTTATTGATTACATTTTTATTAACTTTTTCATTGCACAGTTATCTTGAATGTCGATGTGATACTTCAACAGCGACTTAAAAAAAGACTAATAATTTGTCAACCAAATCATACATCACGGATCTACGGCCGCAATGCCTGCTGCGGCTGTCCAGTGCTCAGGTGAGCAGAGGTGACTGACAGGTGCAGAGAGGTAAGCTCTCATTTTCACTTCACTCTCATTTTTAGCCTCTAGCTAAAGTTTTACTACTTTTAACTTTTACCTAGTCTTCTGCTATTTTTAGCTAGTATTTTGATACTTTCTAAATTTGTTTGCTATTTTTAACTTCCACCTAAAGTTTTACAACTTTTAGAGTTTTCTTATATTTAAGTTTTATTAATTTCTTTAAAAAAACAACATAAATTCAATATACAATAAAAATACAAATCATAAATGAAATGAAAGGAAGCAGAAGAAGAAAAAATCTTGTTATATCTGTCCCTTTAGAATGGTAAATGGACTGTACTTGTATAGCGCCTTTCTACCCAACCAGGGTACTCAAAGCGCTTCACACTACAATCTGTGTCCTCATTTACCCATTCACACAGCACTCTACCAGATCTCCTACAAAGCTAACATGTACAATCAWCTATGGAGACTAACCAGTACCAATCACATTCATACACTGATGGGACACACATCAGAGGCATTGGGGTTAAGTATTTTTGCCCAAGGACACAACAACTGAAACAGCTGGACAGGGGATCAAACCTGTGACCTTCCYGTTCCAGGACAACTCCCCTAGCCAGTCTGCRACAGCCACCCCACTTTAGAACAGATTTTAGTTAGCTGTTTAAATATTGCTTTGTTATCTTTGACTTCACAAATAAAGTTTCTGCTTTTTCAGGAAATTTGAACAAAATCATTCAGAACACAACATCCACGACAGTGTGTTCATTGATTTTCACATAGTTCTGCACTCATGAAACCATAATCATAACTGCATGGCAATCCTCATTCTAGATCCCTTTTTAATTTGAAATGTAACACAGCGTAACATCTTGTAGCTCTAAAAGCTTTCATTTTTTGTTTCTTTTTTACCCACTTCAACATTTCTCTGCAGCAATATATCAGCTTCTGTTAAAAGATGGACATGTAGAATACCTGGAGTTTGTCTGAGATATTTCAGTTGAAACGGCAATTCTAAATGACTAATACAAAATGTCACAAAAAAAACTAAAGACCTAACAGAAAAGCCTAAAATCTTATATAAAAGGGTGTTTTTCAGCAATTTAATAAAAATGGAGGCACATTCTTACATATATGCATATTTGAGATTATTTTAATTTCCTAAAGTAGATAAAAAAGAATGATATGATGTTGGAGAGACATTTGACCCCCTTTATTTTGCTGTTAAAAAAGCTGTGCAGTAAAAGCAACCTAAAACCAACCCTCCAGTGTGAAATTAGAGGAAAGGGCCTTAACAAAAACCAATAAAACAGCGGCAGTGTGTGTGTGTGTGTGTGTGTGTGTGTGTGTGTGTGTGTGTGTGTGTGTGTGTGTGTGTGTGTGTGTG